GGCTGTCTTTGTGGTGATGTTTTACCTCTTAAAGATCGATGTAAATTTTCAATATGGAAAATTTCAGATATTAGAAAAAGTAGAATAGTGTGCTGAGCCATCCACCACATACCCATGACAGTCTTTGACACCTGGTTTCATACAGAACCCTCCACACCTGTGCCTTTGATCACTGTGAAGGGAATTGTAAATATCATAGCCTGTTATCAGTAAGTTATTTAGTCTAAATGCCAAATTATAGGATCTCTTTCTTAAAACAACCAAAATATAATTGGATAACTGAACTACTTAAATTGTCTAGGACAGTGGTCGGTAAACTCATTAGTCAACAGAGCCAAGTATCAACAGTACAATGATTGAAATTTCTTTTGAGATCCAAATTTTTTAAACTGAAACTATATAGGTAGGTACAATGTTATTAACTTAATTAGGGTCCTCCTAAGGCTTAGGAAGAGCCATACTCCAGGGGCCAAAGAGCTGCATGTGGCTCGAGAGCCGCAGTTTGCCGACCGCAGGTCTAGGCTTCTGATGTTATCAGTGATGAGGAGCAGTGTGAGTTAATGGTGGGAGTACATAGGGATGCACAAATGAACAGTTGGTGCAGAGGACAAAGGCATACCTTCCAGCTTGGCCAGTGTTTGGCTGCAGGTCCCAGCACTGCTTCCTGAGCGAGCTGGGCTGGCCCGTGGGAAGAATGTGCCATAAACTAGAGCCTGTCTAGGGGGCACTGCCAGTGGCTCCACCCCTCCCCTCCCCATCCCCCACCCGACACTCTGGACTTCCTGAGTGCTGGCCCTTCCAGGCGTCTCTCTGAGTTTAGAGGAAGCAGCTTCAGGAAAGTACCACAGCAGATTGTCCTGGTTCCATGTACTCTGGTCTGGTAGAGGGAAGATCACCACGAGCTGACAGGCGGTGTGAGGGGCGGTCAGCCGGTTGTCTCTGAGCACCCTTCCCTTAGGAATTGCTCCTGCCTCCTCCAGGTATAAAATCTGTTTGCTCTCCCAGGGGTTCCACAGGTGCAGCAGGCACAACTGGAGAGCTGGGAGGGGGACGCGCATGCTGACTCCAGGCCCTGAGCAAATACGAGGCCAAGCCGCCTGTGCAGAGTCTGAATCAGTAGAATTAAATGCCGTCAAACCTGGTTAATGTGACAAGAGTGAACTTGATATTCAGTTTGCAAACAAAAATATAAACACAGTAAATCAGTTACACGTGGGGAAGTCTCCTGGGCAGTCTTCAGATTCCCTGACTTCCAGTGCCTGTGGCAGGCGCTCTGTGCAGGACTAAGCATAGGGCTCCCCATCCTCACCCCCTCCCTTTGTTTATTTCAGTGACTTGACCTGTGATCTGTGTTACAAATAAAGTAGAAGCGATCCTCATTAGGTATTGAGTTTTCAGAGTCATCTGTGGCAGCTGCATCCATACAAACAGGATGCGAGTTAGAGATCTGTCTGATACTTGCCGAACTCACTGAGGTGATTCTGTGATCCTGACTTTTTCCCCAGCTGCATTGAGGCACAACTGAGAAATAAAAATGTGGGATATTTAAAGTGTACGCCGTGATGATTCTGTGTACATAAACACGGAAAGGTTCCTGCCACCTAGTTGAGGAACAACACATCCATCACCTCAGTGTCACACACCTGAGCGCCTGCTGGGAGCAGTGGGCCTGAGTGCCTTTCCTGCCAGAGCTGCCTGGAGCACGCAGCAGGAGAGGGTGCTGGGGACACGTGCCCTCTGTGACTAGTCTCATCATTGGGGTCACCTGTATTTGTAGTATGGATTGCTCATTTTTCAAATGTCCTGTTTCTGTTTCAGATTTACATGAGTTTTAAGTGTACTTTGTTTTAGTAATTTAGCATAACTGCCGGAGTACCATTTTAAGGGACAATTGACAGCATGTGTATACCGCTCAATAAAACCTGACCCAGAGGAGTCACTTCTCACCATGCCTGATCGGTTAGGGTTGGTTACATGTCTGTTTACCACCTGAGGGGATTTGAAATGTTGGTGATTTGTCACAACTAGCTCTGTGGATTGAGAGTTGTAATCTGTGTGTTTTGCTGTTTCAGATATGGATGTATCAGAACCTCATTAAGCACAGCTCTCTGTTTGTCCAGCAGTTGGATGGATCCGACAGACTTACATGCTTATTTCATTTAAAGAGGTTGATGAGCCTCTGTTGCAGGTAAATCTCTTTGTCGTCGGCAGCGTGTGTGAATGTGCTGATCCCTTTGAATATCTGGACGAGCACCTGAGACAGTGGGGTTTTTTGTTTGTTTTTGATACGATGGAGTATTCTGTGTGTTAAAATTTTTCATCGTGGTGAACATGGCTTGTAGACATTAAAATGTAGGTCAAAGTACCATCCAGGGGATATTTTCTTTCCAGTGTGCCCTGGGATAACTGTGACCCGGCGGAGGCCTGGTGTCAGAAACAGCTAGAGCACTGCTGCTCTGAGCCCATATATTGTTCTGAATTCTGCTTGCCTATGCCAGCTGTAGGGCAGGTTCCTTCTCGAACCCTGCCCATTGCACTAACTGTCTGGTCTGAGCTCCTCTGCCAGGGACTGGACCTCTTGGACACCAGGTCTTAGATCAAGAAGCCATGAGAAGTTCTGGGTGTATATAAGGAAGCCTTTATTATAGAAGCCAGTGGCCATATAGCCATCGTACAAAACAGTCCTTCACAGCAGTCCCACACAGGTAGCCACACACTGGCTGGTGAACAAATATATCTTTCCCACAAAGGCAGCATTTTTAGCCTCTCTACCCACAGCTATTATCTGAGCAGCTGCACACTGCCCTTAGACTCACTGCCTCACATAATATTGGCACCTGAGCTCTCTGGCCTCCGTAGCCTCTCCTGCCCCCCCAGCCCCTCTCTCCTCTTTAGCATACTAGCTTTACATGGTAGCCATATCTGAGCTCTCCGTGAGCTCTTAGCCTTTCATCGTAGCAGCACCAGCTCTTAGCTTCATCTGCCTCGTCTGAGCTCACTAGCCTTAGTAGTATCTATACAAACAGTCCTCGAGGTTTGTCGGACTCGACGTACGTCGTTTCGTGGTTACGTACCAATCTCCCATTTATTTATTAAAAAAAAAAAAGTTCCGTCTTTTCGATGTATGTACATATGTGCCTTATGTTTTTTATCATTTATTTACCACAAGTAAAGGTCAGGAATTGTTATCTTTCTTTTAAATTTTTTTTACTGTTGCACTTCATTACTGCTGTATATGTGCTCCATGTGAGTGACGTAGGTGCTTCTGTAGGTGGATTCCAACTTACAGCGAAAATCACGTTACGTCATGCCGTAGGAATGGATCTCCAATGTAACCTGAGGACCCACTGTATATAATAGGCTAATATGCTAAGTGTCCAGCCAACTGGTCACTATGACGTGCAGTGACCACCAGGGGGCAGACCTCAATGCATGAGCTGCTGTGACGCATACAGAGAAATGACACCACGGACCTGGCACCCACAAAGCAACACTCAGCTTCCCCCAAGTGGGACACAAGCCCCACCACCACCCCATGGCACAAAATGCGGCTCACAGTCCAGCCCAGAAATGGTCGCTGTGGGCGCCGGGTAATGACGTCATGTAGCAACACCTGGCTTCCTCTTCCTTGTGACAGGCTATTTAACAATAAACGGCACCTAGCTACGACTAGCCTCCTTGAAATTTCTTCAGCTTCAAAACACGACTTCCTTTATAGCCAGGTGCAAACATTTCACACTTTAACCAAATGTCTGTGAAGCGTTTTCCCATGCCTCATCTCATCTGATACTCACAGAAGTCCTGGAGTAGGTAGACAGGATACTCAGTGGAATCCTGTTTTCTTTTCATTAGCTGGAAAATGATATAGAACGTTTAGAAACCTGACCCGACTGAAAAGAAGTTAAGAAATGACCTTGAAAATGACTTCAGGGTTTCTCATTGCGCAGAATATAGTCAAAAACTGCCGCAGTTAAATATTTTACCCTTTGTTCTCCCTGCGTGACTTACAATAATAATCTGCTTCATGTTGATATTTACTACTGTGTTGCTGACAATTACCTGAAAGAGAAGTTGGGGTGCTTCACTGGGCTGGAAAAAGTTTAGCTACGTCAGAAAGCAGGTCTAATTAAGCAAGTTTATTCTATAGCTATAAAAGGCTAAGTTGGCTCGCGCATGCGTGCAATACATATAAAGCTCTCACTGGCACCAATCGCACACGTGTTTTGATCTGCATTGTTGATTGTGAATTTGGTTGACACTTCTATTATAGAGAAATGGCAAATAGCAATATTTAAATATTTCTTCTAATTAATTTCCTTTCAATGTGCATGAATCTGTGCACCGGGCCACTAGTACTTTAATGCTACTTAGACAAAAGAGGCCTCGTTCCAGTAGTTACATCCATCATTTGGGTTATAGAAGGGCACAGTGTGCCGTGAGATCGCTGTGGCCTTGCACCTGCAAATGGTATCTTAGTCTTGAACATTCTCATTCAGATTCCCATGTTTAGAGTGGCCTTGGCCATCCAGCGTACTATCAACAAGGCCTGAGTATCTGGCGTCTGGCATCATTCCCACACCTGGTTACTAGGGAA